AAAAGCCAACTCCAAAAGGTTACATGCTGTGTAGACTACCATTTTTATAACACTCTTGAAATCACCAAGGTATAAAGATGAAGAACAGATTAAAGGTTGCCAGGGATTTGGGCAGGGTTGGGAACAGGAGGGAGGTGATACTAGGGGTCCTCTTGGTGATGGATATATTCTGTCTCTTGACTGCACCAAAATCTCAATATCCTGGTTTGTGATACAGCAGCGCAATATTGCAAGATGCTACTTTTGGAGAAAACTGGATAAAGATCACACAGGATCCCTATGGCTTAATTCGAACAATTATATGTCAATCTACAATTATCTAAAAATAAAAAGTTTAATTACCCCCCAAAAAATTAAAAATGAAGAAGCACCTCAGATCTCACCTACAAGGGGGTCATGAGTGGATCGCACAGCAGTGACACGCCAGTGACCAAGACCAAAGGGCTCACCGAACCTCCCCTCCTCCATGACCGGGCAGCACTTCCTGGCCCACGGATGCACCTGCTCAGCTCTCCCATGGGTCGCCACTTGCATCTCAGAACCTCCATGTCAAAGCTTTCCTGCTAACGAAACCCAATTTCCAACTTTTCTACTCCTGCCAGAAACAATGCCGGATTCACAGCTGTCCAGATTCAAAACCAAGACCCTAGCCATGATTTCTGATTTTTTTCTACATGCAAAAACCCAGTCCTAGGAAGCTGTTCCTCAAATATGTCTGCACATGTTCATCACACTGTTTCCGCTGCAATTCTTAGCCGGGCCTCATCACCTCAGAGCTTTGATACCGGGCTAGCCCTGGGCTTCCCAGCCCTGTCAATTTCGCCCTGACGCCAACTCCATCCTAGATGTTACTTTCCATCATCTTACTGTCCTAACAAAAAACTCTGAGCAGTGTCCCTATCGTGTGTGTGCGCGTGCGTGCGTGAGAAGGGGGAGCTCCCCAACGTGTGTAAGAGAGGGGATGTGTGTGACGGGGGGCTGTGGCCAGGGCTCCCCTCGATTCAGACTCAGTAGCCGGGCCACCTGGGAGTCGAGGCGCACAGGCATCGCAGCCACCCTCACACAGTACAGGGGAAGTCTGGAGATCGGCGGTCAGCAGCTGGAGCACAGCTGGAAGAACCAGCTTCGATGGGGCTGGCGGAAAAATACCGAGACCGCATCACAGAGACGGCCGATTTCATGGCCACATCAGGGGTGTCCCTGGAGAACCCACAGGAGGTGGAAGATCCCTAGGTCCTCACCCATGGCTAGAGGGGATCCATACAGATACAGACAGACAGACTCTCCATGTTGCAGTGACGAAAGGCTATGCTGTACAAGCGGAGTACCTTACCCCAATTAATCAGACTTGTAGATGTGAAGAGGAAAAAAACATACTGTGTGAAAAGTCATGGGATGAGCATTGGCTTCTTGCCTCCGGCTGGGAAGTTAAAAGATGGATTTTTGAAAATAGAATGAAACATGTTATTGAAAACACTTTTTTCTTTCTTTTAAAAAGTAATGACTTGGCTGCAGATGCATCACTTTCTCCCCTGGCGATGAGTCTCAAATATCTGCAAATATTGCACAATGACCCTCTGGCGCGCTGCAAAAACCACACCGTGTTGCCTTTCATGGAAGGGAAATGAAGAATTATGAGAACAGAATGACAAGGTTTCTCTAAC